TGAAAATATCACACACATCAGATTTATGCTTAAGGAAATAAACCCATAATTTTCTAGTAGTGTCATTAATAAAAGTAACAAAATAATGTGAACCACCAATAGAAGATAACTTTGATGGTCTCCACACGTCGGTATGAATAAGCTCCAATTTCTCTGTTTGCAAAGTCCTTGTCACCTTTATGAATTTGATCTTCTTCTGTTTCTCGAGAACACAATCCTCACAGAAGTGCAAATCCAACGACTTACAACCTGACAATTTTCTCTTCGACATCATTACTTTCATCCTCTTTTCGCTCGTGTGACCCAGCCTACAATGCCACATAATGCAGTCAATCTCTGATGCTGTCACCGTGATGCTACTGTAAGTATCTGAAGATACATATAGAGTTTCTTCCTTTTTACCACGAGCAAATATCAAAGTCCCCTTACTCATCTTCCAAGCATTTGATGTAAACGATGGGATCACTCCACCCTCTGACAACTGACTCATTGAAATAAGATGTCGTGTTAGACTAGACACATGTCTAACATCCTTCAATTTCAGAACTATCTCATCTGTCCGAGTAATTTGTGCATTCATCATCGCCCAAATACACTTTGCCAAAGTTTTGCTGCACATAATTTTGTAGCACATCCATGCGTGGAGTAATATGGAATGAAGCTCCAGAATCTATAATCCAAGATTCACTGCGAGAATCCAGCGAATAAATCAAAGCATCATTATTAAACTCGTCAGCAATATTAGTAGTATTTTTGCCTCTTTGATTATTCACATTCTGTTCCTTTCTTGGTGACTTGCAGTACCGCTTCCAGTACCCCTTTTAACCACAGTGTCAGCAACCCTCATCTCCGTCATGAGATTTACTTCGACCTCTGTTTCTCTAATATGACTTTTCCTTGCCCTTTTTATTGCCTCCCTTATTCATAGTCATGCCTCTCTCTTTCATATGGAGTGCTGAACCTGAAACAACATCCTCACCCGATGCTCTTCTCCGAGCCTCCTCTTCTAGTATCAACGCCACAACATCCTTCAATTTTATCTTTGCAAACCCGAAAGAATTGAATATTGCCACAACAAGTCCATTCCAACTTTCCAACATACTTGATAAAAGAACAAGAGCTCTAATTTCATTATTAAAAATAATACTCACGGATTCTAACTGATTTGTGATCATATTAAATTCGTTGATATGTTCAGCAACAATAGTGTTTTCAGACATCTTTAAGTTAAACAACTTTTTCATAAGATATACCTTATTCACTGCTGAAGGCTTTTCATACATCTTTTCTAGAGCTTTGAACAAATCTGATATAGTCTTTTCTTTGGCACAGTTGCAAAATCCCTAGGGCTTTGCGATTCAGAACATCCCACTTTGTTTGCTCCATATTCGCTGGCTTCGTCCCATCGATAGGTTTATACAGAATATCCTCCATCTGCATCTTCCAGAACGCGTAGTTTGTGCCATTGAATTTTTGATCTTGACTTTGTCTTCAGCCATTGTGTAAATCCTTGACCTATTAACCCAGAGATCTGATACCAGTTGTTGAGATTTAACACGCTTTAAACTCACAGACAAACACACACAATCGAAGAACAAATCAAAAACATAAAGCAATAAGCAACAAGAAAGAACAAGACATAAAGATTTTATATGGTTCAGTTGTCTACGTCCACGAAGCTGCAGGGATTTCACTATTAAGAGAGTGGAATACAGAGGACGATTTTCAGTTACAATAAAAACCTAAACACTAAAGTAACAATTTTTACATGTCCTACGTACTGGGCTACAAAATAGGCCCAACAATTCTCCCACTTGGAAAATTTTTCATTAAAAATCACGCAACATTATTTTGGGTCGGGTTATCATCCGGATCAACACATAAACTAGACTCCACAAAGGCCCAACAGTGAGGTCCCTTTCGTTTGAATTAGTCGATGTGAGATTTTAGCCAAAAGTTGTTCACTGTGCAAGTTTGTGCTCCTTGAAGTCTCTTCTTCCTAGTTCCTATCTCGCACACGACATAGAAACCCACCATTGACCATACTCTGTAGTTGTGTTGCGATCAGAAATAGGTGAAAAATGGCGATAGCTTTTGCTACGTCTATGTCTTCACCTTCGATTCACCGTCTCTTACCAGCAAACTCGTTCAGCAAGGTTCGGCTTCAGCAGCTTTCTTGTAGAATTGGGTCTTTAGATTTGTAGAGAATTCAGTTGTTCTTTGGAATTGGGTCTTTAGATTTGATTCTTTGAAATTGAAACCTTAGATTTGTAGAGAATTCAGATGTTTAATGTGGAAGAAGAGATTGTGTATGTTCTTCAAGAAAGAGATTGAAGGATATTGGATTATTGAATTCAATTTTAACCCTAAATCAGGTTCCCACATCAAGCACTGCATAGGGGGTAAGTGAATAATTTGTACTTAATTTTTCTAAAGTAAAATTTTTTTTTACACATTTACCATATATTTATATATAATAAATATTTTAATTTAATTTTGACTAATTTTTTAAAAATAATTATTAATTTATTATTACATTAATTTTTTAAACGGGTAATAAACAGGTTGACAGATCTTACCCGAACATGACCCATTTATTAAATGCGTCTAGCGGGTTAACTTGTTTATCACCCGCACCCAGTAAAGTCTCACCCAAACCCGTTTAATTTGTGTTGGTTAATTGTGTCGTGTCAGATTTTGACAGGCCTAGGGACTATCTCTAGGGGTGAAAGAGCAGTAACCGGGGAAGAATGGGAGGCGTCAACAGGTCCCACCTCTCGAGGACGAACCTGGACGGTAGACCTCGGTTGAGAAATACCGAGGGCATCAGACTTCGCCCTCTTGGAAGAAAGAGGGGAAGATGCCATCCTGGAAGTATAGAGAGTCTCCACTATCGCTCTATCAATGGAAGTACCTGCAAAATTGGTGTAAGACAAAAAATTTACAATGTTGCAACCATAAAGAATCTATTGGAAAGATCAGATACCTTTCTTTTTCGGCTTATGCAAGACCTTGGGACGACCCGATGTGGACATGATATCTGAAAAATCCCTAAAAGGATGGTCGCGCACTATTTGGAGTCTATGCTTCTGTCCCGCAGATAATGTGGGTGGAACTACAGAGAAGTCAATTGTACAGTAAGAATAGATATGTGATAATTAAAAGTAAAATCAAAAGTGAAATTCCTACCTAACTTGGTCCTAGGGACGGTGTCCCACCTCGAAGGCACCAGGTTATGATCTTTCTTGGAGGCCCACTCGCCTCCAACAAAGAAGAACTTAGATTTCTAGCTATGACAGTTTGAAAGAGACCCAGTAATGAACTTGCTCGACCTTAGGGCAAAACGATACCACTCCTGATGGGGGATGAGGTTCTCCAAAAGGACGTACGTGGCCAAGAACTCCTCAAAAGGGGGAAGGACATCACTACCGAGAACTAACCACCATAATGAGAAGAACGCTAAAATCACCCTCCACCCATTGGGGGCTAACCTCCCGGGAGCTAGTGATAGAAGTCCTAGGACTTGACATATAGGCTCAGGTATCAAGAACCTCAAGCTTGCCTTCAAGATATCCTCACAAATAACAATTTCACCCAAGGAGTCACAACACGCTGGCTCGTCCCCCTCCGCACGACGACACATTATAGCAAAAGGGATACGGTAAGAAGATACGATATGAGTAATGTTCTCATCGCAGTCAATGGAGCTGAATATGGAAGTCACTTTCGAGCCACTATCTCTAGTAGTCCCCTTGCCTCGCTCGATGTCTCGAGTAACCTCCCCCATAATGTGCTTGTCAGAGTGGGTGTCTGGCGACAAACAGAACCAAAACAGGATCAAAGTCAATGTCAAGGTAAAACTAGTGTCTGTTGGACCCTATAGCAATCTCAGATGAATCCAGCTACGTCCATATTGCGCTTCGACTGAATTTCGAGGATCAACTTGCCTCGTCAGGTTGCGAGGATCCTATAATGTCATTGTTATAGGATTCAAAGTGTGTCGAATCATCTCTAATTGGCAATTGGATAGATTTTGAAAATTGTGGTCAAGTAAGAGATGAGGGAGATAAATAAATATACAAATCTACTTGCAGGCAAATAGCATGGTTATGAGATAATTCATATGTGCTCTTATTTTATTTTTATTTATTTGCGTGTCTTCTTACTAAAAAGTCATTAAATGGATTCATATGAAAGTTTAAAAAAAAAAAAAAAAAAAAGGACTTTTATGAACGTCCCAAGATTATTTTAATTTTGAATGAATAAAATAAATATTATTGAAGGGACTACAAATATTGTTGTTAAAGGGTCCATCAACAACGGTGTCAGTGTTTTCTCGTAATATCAAATTTGCTTGGTGTATAACTCAAACAATTAGTATTCAATGGACGGAATAACTAAAGGGCGAGGGATCTGTCCACCCTTGAAATTTTTAAATTTTTTTTATACATGTGTATCAAATGTTTATGTTTTAGATATTATTTACATATCATATATTAATTAAATAAATTATGTTAAAATTGACTTAGTGTTCGAGTTAAATCTAAATTAATAAGACCCGAACAAGATTGACATCCGTAAGTTAATATTTGCCGATTCTCCTGATGCTTCACTGTCCGAATTCCCACAAAAATCCAACGGTTCTACACCATACTGAATTCAACGGTTCATATTATTCCCCTACTTCCAGCAAAGCATTCTATTCCATCTCTTTCATTCAAAACCTCTAACATTCCCGCGAACAGCCCAACGACTTCATCTCTAATGTACCTAAACTAACCCTAAGTGTTTCCATAAATATCATAAAACCCGCGCTACGTCTCCGGTAAATACTATCCAAAGTGATCGACACAGAGGGTACTTCTATTACTTTCTCTCTCTAGAATAACAGACTATATATACACATCGTAGCATTTCTTTGTCCCTTCACTCCTTCTCAGATTTCATACTCAGAGCTTTCACGCTCATTATCTCTCACACTCTCTCTCTCTTTCTGCAGAATGGATTTTTGTAATATGTGGAATCGCTTGAAAAGGCTGATCTCTATAACTTTTCAAGATTTGTCCAATCTCTGCGAAATGCGGTATGGTCTAGCTGCTCGTAATTTCGAGAATGCATCGCAAGCGTACTTGTTTAGGGATTGGAGCAACCAAACCCTAATGAACTTGGGGAGAATTTCGTCGTATGTTAGTGTTCACCTGAGACACGTAATGATTTTTTTTTTCTCGAATCACCTCTACTTCTCTTTCTTTCTCTCAATATGTTTGTTTGGTTGCCAAGAAAAAGTAGGAAAAGAAAAGAAAGAAAAGCCACCGTGAGCAAGTTTTGATTTTTTGACTAGCAAATGTTGGAATTGGTAGAATTCAGGTTAACCTGTTGATTTCCGTTTGGATATTCTGTAGGTTTTTCCGTTTTAGAAATTTATGACTCATGAATCATGAGATTCTGTTAATGCTTTATTAAATTAGGGCTTTTTTTGTTGGTAAGTGAAACCTTCATGATTTGATTGTTTTTTTCGGCTCTTGAAACTATTTTTGATAGGTAGTCATGTATGACAATTGTGACCTATTCAACCCTATAGGTCGCGGACACGCATAATCAATCATGTTGAAATTGATAAAACTACACTTCTCCATTTGATTCTTACTTTCGTTGTTTTTGTTTTATTGTTCTTTAATATCCAGCATATTTGGGTTTAATTTGTCGGTGGCTTGACAATTTTGTAGTAATTATTTGTGGCAATATTTGATTCTTCCCTTGTTTGTTCTTTAAACATGCTTCTTGATTTGGATCGTAGTATCTTAAGGTCTTAGGATCGGGACCCAAATTTTGATAACCATGATTGATTCCATCTTCGTTTACTCTGCAAATGATGAAATGTCGTATTAATTATGGTTTCTGGGCTGTCCACAGGTTTACCTCACATTGTATTGTATTCTGGGTTTTTTGGCTATTGGAGCACTTGGAGCCTGGTGGCTTCTTCCACTTGGGAACATGGGGGGCTTATCTACAAGACTTTTATTTTTCACAAACTTTACACTTTTTGTCTCAAGAGAACCATGGGACGAGGTATCACTTCTGCAACTCGTTTGTGTTTGTTAGAATCTGTTTGGTATCAATTTTTAAAAATTACAGCAGTAATTTGATCCATATAGCATGATTTGGCTTACAACTAAATTTCATATAATTTCATTAAATAATCGATTTATTCATATGTTTCATATTGATATTGTTTGGGTTAAATCACAATCTGATGGGATTTTTTTTTACTATTATTATCTGATCTGATGGGATATTGACATGTCCAAATTTAAACTGGTGAAATATAATTTATTGAATCTGAATATGAATTATTGTATTCCTTTGTGAGCAGAATTAGAGGCTCTGTTTCTTGGCTATTGCTGCATTTTTTGGAGGAGCTTATATTGGTCATTGGACTGACTTGTTGCTTATGATTGATCCAGGGTAACTTTTTACATCCTGTGACTTGTGTGTGTTTTGGTTAAGATTTAGTTCAGTTATATTTCAGTTTTTTGTTGGCTTATCTTTTTATTGATTGATTGATTTCTTATGTGTCTTTTTTAGGGTTTTACGTTCTTCTTTCGGTCATTTTTTCTTTTGGTTCAACAGTTAAGAGTGTTTAGACCAATTTACATACATATCGACTAATTCTTTCTCCAATCCGGTCAAAAAAATGTCATTCACACTGGAACAAGAGTATTCCCTCATGGCCTAACTCCAAGAGGTTGACAATATTCGAATTTAGGACGTATGTGTTTATAACATGTTCCTGTTAACTCCTCATGAGTCCTTTCTCCTCTGCTATAGAGCAATTGTTCAAATTTAGAATAGCTGATAATATTGTTGTTGTGTTGTACTAAAGTATACCAACAAAATGGGTGGAGGCTATTCCCTCACCTCTCTAAGTATCCATCCATCCCTACTCTACTACTCCTTCCTATAAGACTACTAAATCCATATCACTCTATTTATCATTTTACCAATGACTAAACTCAACCATATTTTATATCACCTCATTAGTAATATTATTCTTATCCTCCTATGTACATCTCTTTCATAATATACTTCCTCATGTATCTTCTCATTTTTAGGATTTTTGTCCTTTTCTATACTATTAATCTATATCTATTTCTATATTTATATTTATACTACTAATAAAAGTATCTTAAGTGAAAAACTTTTGATTCACTATTTTACCTTTATAAAAAATTTTAAATATCACATTATCTTTTAATAGTTAAATATCTAAATTACAATTACAACTTGATGTATTTAAATCTTTAAATTATCATATAACATCTATTTTAATTCTTTATTATTTTTATATAAATATCAATATCTATGAAAAAATTTAATTGACTAATTAATCTTTAAAATATATGCATCATTATAATTTTAAATAACATGTTCAAAAAAATATATTAATAGATCATTACTCTTTTCAAATAAAAATTTATATCTATATTTACTAATAAAAGTACCTTAAGTGAAAAACTTTTGATTCACTATTTAACTCTTATAAAAATTTAAATACCACATTATCTTTTAATAGTTAAATATCTAAATTACAATCACAACCTTATGTATTTAAATTTTTAAAATATCCTATAACATCTCTTTTAATTCTCTATTATCTTTGTATAAATATCAATATCTATGAAAAAATTTAATTGACTAATTAACCCTTAAATATATGTGTATATAAAGAATTTTAAATATCACACTATCATTCTGTAGTTAAATATCTAAATTACCATCATATACTTATGTAGGGGTGCAACTTGGGTTGGGCAACCCGAGTCCAACCCAAAAAAATTAGGACTTGGATAAGGGTTTTTAATACTTGGGTTGGACTTGGGTCAAAAATTCCAACTCGAATTCAATTTGGGTTGGGTTCAAGTTAAGGTCTCATGAACCCGAGTTCAATCTGAACCCGACAAATTAAAAAAAAAATTATATATATATATATAAAGCATTAGCACTGATTTTTTTATTTTTGTTCTATCGTTCTTTGCCTCTCTCGTTCTCTTTGCCTCTCTCGTTCTCTCAGTCTCTCTCGTTAAAAACTTGGTTGAAATTATTGGTTGTTAATTTAGGTTTATAACAAGTTTATTTTGGACTCTATCATAATTGAACTCATAAAGTAACCCGAAATCAGCCCGAAATCATCAATTCAAATTCAACCTGAGCCCGCCCGAATTAAACTCGGACAGTGTTCGGGTTAAGTTCTCCAATCCAAAGTAGGGTTAGAGTTAAAGATTATATACCTCAAGTTGAGGTAGAATTAATTGTCCAAAATTCACTCCTATACTTATGTATTTAAATATCAATATCTAAATTATCCCTTCACTTTTGGTAAGGAAAGAGGAAGAAAAACTTACACCCTTGACTAGATGAGTTAAACGTGTCAGATTAAATAAATAAATGATAAATTAAAAATATATAAACCCATACACAAAATATTTAATAAACAAATAAAAAATTTCAACACAACCGCAACACATTTAATAAACATATAAAACAACAACACACAACTCCTTTAACTCGTTTAAAAACAATAAAAACATAATATTTTAACAAACTTTTACACTACTTATTTATTTCCAATTGTACTAACAATTTCCTTTATTAGAAGAGTTCCAATTAATGGCCCACATGAAAGACACTCCATAAACTTTAGATTACATGACAAGGCCCACTACCTTTTTTATAGTCAACTAAATCCTCCCCCTCTTTACTCTTATACCGATGTGGGACTAAAGAAAAGACAATGCTATTGGGATTCAAGCCAAAATATTTTACTGTGTTCGTTCAACTCCTCCTCAGCACAAAGAGAGAAGAAAGAAACTCAGATCTCTCCTCAGCCAGAAAGAGAGAAGAAAGAAACGTGTCTTATTAATGCCTCTGAAAAATAGATAACGTGTCTTATTAACAGAGAACAAAGTTCCATTGATAAACAGAAGGATTTGATGGTGTCTGCGTATACACCTGATACTGCCTCTGAAAAATTGGGAATAAACACATGACCAACAGTCTGCCCAGATTTCTGGCAAAGTTGGTGCCAGAGAACCTGTAAAGACCAAGATCGAAAAACAGAATGAACAAAGAGTTCAACCTGATGTGCGTGTTTGGCAGCTTAAGGATCAGCTCATCAGGGAAAAGGTTTACCTTTCTCTTGCAGCTACAAGAAACAATCCCCACTTTATAAGGGAGCTTCGTCTACGGATGAAGGAAGTTCAACGAGCACTTGGGGAGGCAACGAATGATTCGGAGCTACCAAGGAATGCCTATGAGAAGTTGAAGTCAATGGAGCAAACATTGGCCAAGGGAAAGCAAATTCAAGATGACTGCACTACTGTGGTAAAAAAGCTTCGTGCTATGCTTCACTCAGCGAAGAGTAGCTCCGAACCCACAAGATGCAGTTATTAATTCCCACATCGAGCTCTGCAAAGGGGAGGGGGTAAGTGAGTAATCTATATTTAATTTTTTTGAAATAAGATTTTAGTATACTCATTTACCATATATTTATATTTATATGTATATATGTATAATATATAAATATATAAATTATAAATATATATATATAATATTTTAATTTTAATTTTGACTAATTTTTTAAAAATAATTATTAATTTATTATAATATTATTATTTTTAAAATATATCTTACGTGTTTGACGGGTTAATCTGTTTTAATTCGTGTCAGTTAATCGTGTTGTCTAGGATTTTGACAGACCTACACTTGACTTCAAAAAGGTAAAATCTTCACAAGTTAAGAAGTACCATTGGACCAAAGGTCCATTGGTATCTAAATTACCCCGAATATTTCTTTTAATTCTCTATTCACTATATATAAATATTATACCTATGAAAATTTTTAATTGATTAAGTTACTTTTACAAAATATATGCATCACTATAGTTTTCAATAAGACATTCAAAAAATTTTCAAAAACTTTATCAATCTAACATTATTCATTTCAAATATAAAAATAACATAATACTTATAAATGTGTATTTTTTTTCAAAATTACAACCATTTTGTTTTTAAGATAAAAAATAATATTTTATGTATTTATTTTTAAAATAATTTATGTTAAATCAACTTAATCATTCAACCAAGTAAACTTTTCAGGTATTATCAAAAATTTATATAAAAAAATTATAGTGTACTTTAAAATAAAACCTGAATTTTAGAGTTCTAATATTCTTATATATATAGTATAGAGTAGTATATTATATTCTAGTGTTAATAGCATTCTGAAATATGCATGTTTTATCAGTTTGATCCTCATTGTATAAATTTTGTTAATTTGATGTCTAAAATATTTAGTTAGTGTTTAAATGATATATACACAGACAATCAATTAATTTTAATGAATCGTCTGGTTATGGACTATTTAAACAAAAATTGAATACTTTTTGGATCAAATTGACAAAATTCATATATTGAAGACGAAATTGACAAGAAACGCATATTTTAGAGACTCAAAGTGTTATTCACCCTATATTTTATCCGTATTGATCTAAATAATTTCTAATTATAGAAAGCATTTATCATCATATTGAAAAATATTGTTATTTTATTCAATCAATTATATATTGAAACCTAATTAATTGAATTTCAAATGAATTATTTTTATCTTTTTTTTTTCTTATAGTGAGAACAACAAATCGTTGGAAACAAACAATATTTTTTGAATTTTATAGTATAATGCGAGCAATAAAAATATAATTTTAATAAACTTGAGATGATATTTAATGTAGATACACATATATATAATAATTTTCATTAATATTTTGTATATAAAAATTATTCATGTGCGTGTTGCATTGCTAGTTCCATAAAATGCACCAATACTATCATAGCATCTTCAATGTACAAAATCATAGAAGACGACCCCGTTCAATCGAAAAATCTTTCGGTCTAGACTTTGCATCTAATCACTTAAAATCCACATTGAAAAAAAAAAGAGAGAAAGAGATCTTCCCATTTATTATTAGATATGAAAGTAGCAACATTTCAACTAGCTACAGTTCGTCATTGGTTATCAATAGGATTTGGATTTTGTCAGTGTTGGGGTAGATATAAAAAGGGTGAGTTTAGCATTTTTATATGAGAATTAAATGGGTAGGTACTAATATTTATAAGGTAGGAATAGTCACACCCAAAAAAAGTACGAGGAAGTAATTATGGTGAACATATTAGGCTTTGATATTGTACAAGGAAGTTAGTATTCCTTGTTTCCGAAAGTAAACTATATGTATTGATTATAGACCAAAAAATGTACATTAGAGAGGGATGCTCTCCATCCAGAAAGTAGGCATCACCTATTGTTCCAGTTACATTGAAACAAAATACCAAAAAAATACTATACTGATTCCAAGTTTCAATAATTTTAAGGCATCAATTAGAACTATTTCTAAAGCATAAAGAAACTAGTCACCGTATGCAGGAACTAGGTAGTTGCTAGATTTGAGATAATCGCATGTTTAAATGAGAATTTTTTGAACTTGGCAGAATACATTCTGTTTTTTATGTTAATTGTTGATTCCATTAATTTTATTATTATATTAGTTTTATTTAAAAAAGTAAACAGATAATAAACGGATTAACATATCTCACCCAAACACGACTCATTTATTGAACGGGTCTAACGGATCCACCCGTTTATCACCATTAAGATCTTACCCAAGTTCTCTTAACTTTGTATCGGTTAATTGTGTTGTGTCGTATTTTGACATTTCTATTAGTATATTACCTATATTTGGTGTATCGTCCTGTCATTCTTGACAATTGAAATTCAAAATTAGGATTCGGTTATAATCCGAAAATCAATTTTTTAGTACTGTACTTTCATTTTTCATTGAAGAAAATTTTTATACAGTATTTTTGTTTGTTTGTTATTTTTTATTATTTTACCATTTTTATAATTAATAGCTATAATAAATCAATCAAACTAAAATCATCCGTTCTCTGTTAATTTTGGTATGATTTATTTTGTTGGATTAAAGACATTCATCCTCTGTTGCAGCTTTATTGTTAGTGCTGCTGTAGCGCTTTCTATACCTTTGGGTTGTTTCGTGGTGGCATCTTTGGTGACACGGCATAGAGACTACATGTATATCGGTGGCTTGCTTTCCTGTTTGCCCTTAATCCCGATCTGGTTACACTTTGCTTCCATCATCTTTGGTGGCTATACAGCCATATACAAGTTTAAGGTAAACCCATTAATCTTTGACAGAATTTAGTATCAACGACTACTTGTAAGATGAGGTACATGAGGTTGTTTCATTGCGACACTGTGACACGACCTCACCCAAAGAAGAATCTGTGAAAAGAAATTTATTAGTAGTGTTGACTGACTGTATTTGTATTTTTAATCCTGGCACAGCTCTGTTATGTGATCTTGCTGTATGTGGGGCTCATAGTGGTGTCTAGCCAACAGATCATCCGACGCGTTCAGCGTGGGGATTATGACTATGTGCAACATGCTCTCCCCCTCCTTGCTGATTTTGCTTATATCTGCACCATTCTATCAGTTTTCTATTTCTTGGTAAGCAGAAGGGTCGGACTTTGGTACACCGTACGTAGCTACGTACTAAACTTCTATTACTTCATCATTAAAAACTTCTACTTCACCTTAAGAAAGTAGTGATTATAATTGATATGGTGGTTCCTTTGTTGATGCAGTGGAAGGAAGCATCTGAGAAGGAGAGAGAAAAGCAGTTGAATTCCACCAGCAGCAGCAGTTCAGATTGGATTGAAGCAGTGTTATTAGATCCTAACGTATAATCAATATAGTCATTTGGTTTTGAGTGACAATAAATCTGTTGAGGAGGATCTCGTTCTCGTACATAAACGTTCATAGGGTTGTAGTATTAGTAAGAAAGAAAGTGTTCATAGTAGGGTATTAAGAAATGAAGTGTTCATAGGGTATCAAGAATTTGTGACACACGCTATACAGATTTGTTTGTATAGAAATGCCAATCTGGTGCATGATAAAAAGTGGCTTTTCTTTTCTTAAAGTTTTAACTCTCTCTCTCTCTCTCTCTCTCTCTCTCACACACACACACACACACGCACAAGTAGCGTTTGTTCTGTGTTTTTACTATTTTTCTTATCTGAACTTGTTTCCCTCTTCCAAGGTTTATCAATATATTGTATACTTGGTACACATAAATAATCATATTAGGTACTCAGTACGCCCGTGCAATGCAAAAAATTTATACCCATACCCTTTTCTTCCCGTCCTCCATTCTTTCCTTTTTTTTTTTCTTCAACCTCTTATCCCACCATTTGAGAAGTTAGATAGAAAATTGTTAAAAGTTGGGGTGATAAAATTGATTTATTCAAAAAAGTTAAATTGATAATGCACAAAATTGATTTGCACACCACCTTTCAATTAAGTAATATAAAATGCAATAAAGTATGAAGAGAGAAGATAATGTTTATAGTGGTTCGGTCAATATGACCTATGTCCACTTTAAATAGCAAGGGTTGACAGAATTTTATTATCTTCGGTGTGAAGGGAGAGCACATGATTACAAGTCTTGAGAGTAGATGAGGGAATTATGCTCAAATGAGTTTGATGCCCCCCAAGTGTTGGTGAGACTTACAATTTATAGTTGTCCGCATAGTAATTGGATGACTAGTATGGCGGTCATAAAGGATCAGGTGACTTAAAGAGTAATTAAGTGGATTGGCGACCTCTCTTCTCCTTGGTGACCTCTCCTCTCCTCAACCGACAAGGAAATTATGATGCACTCCAAAGGACTTGGTCAAGGGATGTGGGAAGGTTGACTCTCCCGGCCGTGAGAAATAGGCTCCTGGATATTCTCTTGGTGGTGCAACTCCCTGATGGGTTTAACTGGTTTTGGCCCATCATAGGGCCTGTCGGGTCTTTTATAGCCTTAAGTTTTACCCATGGATTGGGTCATTTACGCCTAGTCCATCATAAATGATTGATAATTAACTAGTAGGGGTGGAGAAGTGGTATCATGTACTACAAGAATCAATTTTCGGAGAGATGTTAAGAAGTTTTTCCTCCTTAAATTCTATTTTCTATTAACTAGCAATACACCACATACGTTGTTCGAGAATATTTTTTTTAAAAAAATAATAAATAAATATTTAGTATATATGTACTTGAATTAAATATCATCTCAAATTTATCAAACTTATTTTTTCATCTCTCATGCTCCATTATAAAATTTTTGAAAATTTTGAAAAAAATTTCTTAAAGTTGTTCTAACTTTAAGAAAAATAATAAAAAAAGAAATAATTAAAGTTCTAATTTTTTAAAAAAATTTATAATTGAAAGTGATTTTCTAGTGGTGTTTGAAAATTAAATTTTTTAAAATTAATTTGATTAAGATTCCACTTATAAATCATTGAATAAAATAAAAATAATTATCAATATATCAATTGATGGTGCTCAGATTTCAGGGCCCAAGCCCGATTATGATGGGGTGATATTGTGAGAATGGCTTTGCAGATTATGGATTAATCTTTTATGAACAGTTGGACAAAGAATGTAAGTGGTTCACCTTAGCCGAATGACTAAAGCTACGTCCACTATCAACGGAGTCTTTTGCTCGCTAGGATTATGTATTCATCTGCCGACAAAGTGTCTCTAGTGACTTGGGACTCAGGGTCCACTTACAAAGAATAATTATTTTGGTATTCTCTCTCAGCTTTCTACGTTCTCTACCTCTCAAATGTTCTCCGATCTTTTTTTGTTGGGGGAGATGTCATTGTAGTCCTCTTCTTATCGTTGTCAATTTATACCAGCTCCAGTTGTCCTTTTCTTTGACCCCTTCCTGCTTATTCTGCCACCACGATCACTATTCATCCGGTGCTGCTGTTGCCATGATCTTTGGTGTCTTGGTGCTCCACCTTCTGGGATTGTTGCAGGTGTCAAGGGTGGTCCCCCTGGACGCGTGGTCCCCTTTGCTCATCCAAAAATAGCTTGGATTGGGCTTTTACTCTCTGAATCGCCTTATGGTTTAGGCTGGACCTGGACTGCTGGGCTGTAGACTTTTGCTGATGCCAGGTCTCGCTTTTCTACTTCGGACCTCTTGGGCTAGTCAGGCATCTGGGCCATCAAGGCCTGGCTTTGAGTTTCGTCTGTATAAGTTGGCCCCCAACCCCAGGTCATGAAGACGTTATTGTTTCTGGCCTGGGGTTAAAAATAATTTTTTTGGGCTTGTTATGGGCTTTCGAAGTGATGACTGTGCCCGGCTATTAGTTCTGATCAGGATTGGGCCATGATTCCGTTTGCCGGTGATGATGGGATGGCAATGTACACGTGTCACCATCGGGTAAGCTCGTGGAAATGGCTTTTGGGGAGTGTCCTGTCACTTGTCTGTCACGAATTTAATATTTCACACATACATATACATCCTTCAAAAGGAAAAAAAAGGGGAAGGTCTCTTGGCTTTTTGTTCTGTGTTTCCGAGTCCCACTTTTCTTCGTGCTCCTTTCCCTTTCTGTGCATTCTAAGTGATTTGATCCAGAATTTTGGGCGACTTACGACATCCTGGTTTCTAGTTCTACTCTTCCTCTAACATTTCACTAGGTACGTCCTTCTTCCTCTCTCTCCTTGCTATTTCGACCTGGATCCATTTAACCCTCCCTGGTGGGGTTTTGGGTTTCGCTTCCTGATCTGGAGGTTTAGTTATTTTAGAGAACACTCTGATGACCTTTCTTTCCTTTCGCGATTTATAAGTCATTATTAGTGGCAAGCGTAGCCCTACTCAGGACCTGGTGTTTGAAACCTTTATTCTTGGCAGGTTGTGCCTTGCATTTCCCTTTCCTTCATTCTGATGTAAAGTCTGACCTTTTGATGGGGAAATTTTTCGTTTCCTCTTTTTCTTTCGCATCGAAATCTGTTAGTAAGGAAACCGAGGAGACCACTATCGCTTCCTCTAGTGGGCGTTCTTTTTCCGCCGATGGCGAAGCCCTTGAGTCTACTACTAGAGCCACATCCCTGATGCCTCCAGCCGAGGTTGCGCCTCTTTTCGCCCTGCCCCCTGGTTCTCCAACCCGAATGAAGAAAAGGAAATCTGAGCCAGGTCTGCCCCCCGTTTCTAAAAAATGAACTCGTCGCGAACCATCTGACCTGACTTGTTGTGCGGAGGGGACACCTAGTTGTCTCGGCGATAAGGATTTGGAGGAGTTGAAGCGTGAGTATCACTTTCCTGATTTCGTGGACTTACATTCCCTCGGGAAGCACGAAAGGTGCAATTCTATTCTTCCCGGACTCACTTGCTTCTTTGAGTCTGCATTTCGGGCTGGTCTTCGATTTCCTATCCATCTTTTTATCCGGAACGTCCTTGGTTTCTACAATGTTTGTCCTGCCCAGCTGTCCCCCAATGGTTAGGGCCTCCTGGTTGGTTTCCTCATCCATTGGTTTGAGAGCGAGAACCTTCCCCTCCCCTCTATACGAGAATTTACTTTCCTTTTCCAGTTGAAGTCTTCTCCCTCCTCAGGTTTCTTGTATTTTGCTAAACGACTAAAGGCGAAGACTCTGATCTGTGGGCTTCTGTCTTCCAATAAAGGATGGAAATTGAGGTTCTTTTTTGCCAAGGGTGATTCCTGGGAGTTGTCGGGGAAGCCCGACGACGTTCCTCATGTTCCAAGATCTTGGGGGTCCCAAGGAACACTCGTAAGGCTAATTTACCGGCCTGAAAACTCTCTAAGGTAGCTCTTAACTGGAAGTTCCTAAGTGTTCTAGCAAGATAGGATGGATTCTAACCAATAAGATCGGGTATCTTCTTTTCTCCTCCTTTTCTTTGTGTTTCTAACTTTTGATCTGATTTGCAGAATTTTACCCAGTACTCGGCACAGAGGAGGCAGCTCGAATTGCCAGAATTGAGGCCTTTGGGTTGAGGTACTTCTTTGACTTGGTGATCGACGAGAACCTCGCTAAACACGAGCTTAGACGGCCATTATTCGAGCTTTAGAGGCTGCTCCACTTTCTGTCTCTTAGTCAGGCAACATGGACCAAGATTTGATCATGGCGGTGTTCTCGAATACCGAGTAATCGAGAAAGAGGAAGAGATTGGAGAGGGGAGGCCAGCTGCTACCCAAGGGGGCGTTGGCCACTGGGCCTATACCCATTTCCTTGGGATAAAAAAATGGAGTCGTCCCTCCTCGAGGGGATGCTGTCGTGCCTCCGCCTCCTCCCGCACCTTCCAAAGGCGACACCGGCTCGGAAGGGGCTTCAGCGGATAAGCCCGGCTCTTCGATCCCCCATTTTGTCTTACCTGAGATAGTTCCTCTGAATGGTGAAAGAGGGGAGTCCGGCCCTCCTAAGTCTAAGGTGCGTGGGGGCGGCTTTCTTCGTGATCTTGAAGCCGCAGTGGTTGCTTTATCAGAGCTGATCTCTACGTCGAATCCTCAGTCGGCGATGGAGGTTCCTTTTAAAAGAAGGTTCACCATACCATCCAAGGTCTGACTGAGGTATCTTCTTATTCCTTTTAATTACTCAAGTCATTCTTGAGTTCTTTTCCCATTTTTCGCGTCGGTTGATCCCCTTCTCTTTTTTTTAGTCGCTCACATGCGTGAAGATGTTGGATATTCATCATGAGCGGGATCTCCAGAAGGCCCAGGATGCTCTTGATGCTATGACGGTTAGCAAGGAGGATGTCGAGGGTAAGCTACAGGTTTTGGTTTTCGAGGTCTCAATATTGAAAAGGATCAATGATGAGCTGGACTCCCGCCATCAGGACCATATTGCGCTCAAAGAATCACAAATCGAGGGTTTAGAGGCTAAGATCAAGGCT